TGACTTGGATAATGGAGTGGAGAGTCTGCTTATAAAGTCCGCAGATGACACCAAGCTGGGAATGGCTCCAAACACTTTGGAGGACAGGATTAGAATTTAAAACCACCTTCAGAAACTGGAGAATTGGTCTGAAATCAACAAGATGCAAATCAATAAAGACAAGCGCAAAGTACTGAACTTAGGAAGGAAAAATCAAATGCACAATTACAAAATTGTAACTGTGTCCAGTTTGGGGTGCCTAATTTGAGGAAAGATGTAGACAAATTGGAGAGAGTCCAGAGAGAAGCAACAAAGATAATAAAAGGTTTAGAAAACCTGATTTACTTGGAAAGGTTACAAAACTGGGCATGTTTAGTCTTGAGAAAAGACGACTGAGGGGTGACTTGATAACAATCTTCAAACATGTTAAGGGCTGTTCTAAAGAGGATGGTGATCAATTGTTCTCCATGTCCACTAAAGTTAGGATGAGAAGTAATGGGCTTAATCTGCAGCAAGGCTGATTTAGGTTAGATATTAGGAAAAACTTCCTAACTCTAAGGGCAGTTAAGCTCTGGAACAGGCTTCCAAGGGAGGTTGTGGAATCCTCATCACTGGAGGTTTCTAAGAACAGGCTGGACAAAACACCTGTCAGGGATGGTCTAGGTACTTGGTGTTCTTGGTCCTGCCTCAGTCCAGAGGACTGAACATGATAATCTCTTGAGGTCCCCTCCAGCCCTACATTTCTATGAGTCTATGATTCCCACATTCAGGCCTGTATTGTGAACCCATAAATAAAAATATAACTAGCATTACTTACTATTCTGCTGCTCTGTGGGAACCACTGGATTGCCATTTCTGCCAAAAAAAAGAAAATGTTCTGAATGCTAAGAATTCCAGACTTTATAATGCAAGTATGAGTACTATATGTTTAAAAGGCATATAGTTTAGTAATATTTTTTACATCTGTACTTCCATTATTATGTTATTTTGAAAGTCATGTTTTTATAAAGAACTTACCTTTAATGAATGCATCCTACACACCATCATTTTATTCTGTTGATTGAACAGATGGGAACAGGCCAGTGATACTCAAACCTCAGTGTTTCCGGAGCCAGATTAGCAATCAACATTACCCAAAAGAGCCACAGTTATGTAAATTCATTGATTCATTTACTATAGTACTATAGATTCAACAGCTCTTCATGAGTAAGGAAACATGTGATCATAGAAAAAGCATCCTGATTGGTTAATAACTTAGATTGGTTAACAGTGAAATCACACAGTGTTTTAATATCATATGCTGCAAAGAGCCACAGGGGAGACTTTAAAGAGCCACTTGTGGCTCCCCAGCCTCAGTCTGAGTATCACTGGAATAACCCATCCAGCTCCTAACCCACTTTTCTCCCCCACCAGGCAAAATCCCTCCAATGCCTATCTCTGCAGTAATCTTTTGCTAAGAGATAAGTAAATTACTACCTCCTAATAGATGGGTAACCCAGGAGAGAAACATGAACTACAAATTACAGTTAATCTGCTACTAGATCAGAAAAAATGACCACTTCTCCTGATAAGAAATAGACACAAACTGAAACAACAAACATTCCCGGGAGTTTGGGTCTGAGTCTGAACTTGATGACTGGGGCCAGTTCTATCAGACAGATCTGGACTGGAACACTGGGAAAGCTTGGATCCAAATCCAGATTAAATTTTTCTGGTTGGATCCATAGCTACTATAAATGTTTGCCAGCGAATTGTTCTGCCATGCATTCAGCGTAACGACATGGCACTGCTCCACAGGACAGACTGACATTCTCATCCACACCAATTAAGTTGCATTAGAAAGTGATGGCTTGACAATGGGTGAGGGCTGAAAATGAAGTGATGGCTATCTGCTCCACCTAGGAGAAGACTGGTTTGTCCATGGCTCCTTGTTACCTTCACCACCACCTTCCTCACATCACAGCCAGCTATGTTAGAAAACACCCATACCGCCTCTCTCATGCACTGCCTGCTGGGTAATAATAAGCAAGGACTCCATGTTTCTAATAATAAACTGGCTCTTTATTATGAGAACTATTTACAGAGGTGCTGTAACTGCAGCAGGCATGCCAGCCATGTGCACATAGACTGGCTTCCTGGTGCCTCCTGTGAGCAATCATAGGCCTCGAATCCAGGCCCACAGGAAGTGCTCAGACCACAGCTGCCATCTAGCAGCTCACCTGAACAACCGGAGAAGGGGGCCAGCAAGGCTGTAGCTTGCATGAAGCTCCTGATTGGGGGAGACATCCAGCTTCACTAATTGGCTGGGAAGCCCTACTTAAACCAGAAAGAGGCAAAGGCAGTTGTCTGAGCAACTAGAAGACTCCTTGGCTGGCTGCTACTACAGATCTTGCCTACTTGCCTTCCTGCCTGTTCCTGTCCTCCTTATCCCAGACCCCGTCAGTTCCCAGTTCCGGCTTTCCTGCCTTGATCTAGATCCCTTTTCCTATGCCCTACGCTGACTCCAGCTTTGACCCCTGGCTTGGCAACTGGATTTGGTTCCAGGCTCCTGATTCTAACCATTAGGCCTGACTGCCGATGCCCCAGTCCCTATACCTCCTCCAAATCTTTCCCTCCTGCAAGCTGTGCTCCTCCCTCTAAGTTCCATGCAGCTTGCTACATTTCCCAAAGTACATTTAAAGTACTAAGGAGAAGTTTGTACTAAGATAATTGGCCTGAAGGTCACAACCAAGGAATAATTGGATGGCCAGCCAGTTGGCTGGGAAGAACTTGAACTCGAGTCACCTAGGATGATCCACCTACAACCTGAGAGTTCACATTGGTACTTGTTAATCAAATATGGGGCAACAGGCTGGGGTGTGTGAGGTGCTTCCACCAGTCATATTATTTCTTAACCCCCTGGAGGAAGGACTCTGAAAATGAAGTTCTCTCTGCACTAACCATAGTCTAGAATGAATTCTGCCACCTGGACTAGAAACGTTTTCCTTAGTAAATGATTCACCAGCAATTATTTTAATATTTAAAGTAATTTAGAATCAAATCCTCCCTTATACCCTCTTGCAACCCCACTGTCTCCAGAACTTGGCCCTCTAGTAATAACTAGCTCAGTGAAATTACTGTAAAACACATGTGTCTGACGAAGTGGGTATTCACCCACGAAAGCTTATGCTTCAATACATCTGTTAGTCTTAAAGGTGCCACAGGACTCTCTGTTGCTTTTTACAGTTCCAGACTAACACGGCTACCCCTCTGATACTGTAAAACAATGACATCTAAATTGGAGATTCCCCCTCCCTCAGGAGCCTGAACTAAGGCCTACACTGTGGAGACCTCCCATCAGGGCCGGCTTTAGGCCGATTCAGCTGATTCGGCTGAATTGGGCCCCGCGCAAAAAGGGCCCCGCGCTGCAGCTCTCCACCCTGCCCTCAGCTCACTTCCCCCTCCTCCCCTCCCCTGAACGCTCCGCCCCCTCCCCTGCTTCCCGTGAATGAGATTCGCGGGAAGTCTGAAAAGCAGGGGCGGGCAGGCAGCACCAGGTAAGCTGGGCTGGCGGGGGGCGCGAGAAGGGCTCCGGGGGGGCGCGAGAAGGGCTCCGGTGGGGCGCGGCCCGTTCCGGCCGAGCACGCAGGCCCCAGCGGCTCTGGGCCGGCTTGGCTCCAGCCCGGCCCCCGC